TTTTTTATCTAAGCAACTCTTACCAAAGCCTTACTAGGATCTATTGATACAATTTTTCCATTTGGAACTGTACTCAGCACGAATGCACCGTATACTTCTTCGGGAAGAGATGGCATGTCTTCAGTATATTTGGCTTCTCCAGCACACAGAATCTGAAAATAAAATCAATAAATCACTACATAAATATCCCATTGATGGTACACACTCTCATGCAAATAAAACAAAGATATTTTTTTCTCGTGCTAGAGATTATTGTGGAATTAAATTTGTGTGTTCCTTTTGTATTCGTACGTGCATCTGCCAGCTGAGATATAGCCAGGTCTTTTGATTGCACTCTGCTTGTGAGAGCAATAGCAACATTATGATGACAATAATGTGTATAATTAAAGTATTCATCACAATTAACAACAATTCGCGTTTATCTGCAATTTTGCTGGCTCTCACAGAGGGAGGTCCCATGATACAACTGACATCAAATGATCTTTCTAGTGCACCTCGATTCAAGTATTCACTTTCATTTAGATGATCATAATAAGAATACTATAATGACGCTAACCTTAATAGCGTTAAGAGACACATGAGAGTCGCTTGTGTGGTGTAAAAAGAAAAAAAAACACCTTTTTTAATAAAACAATCCGAATCAAAAATTAACTTACCAAGCCGTCCACCTTAGGCAAAGGCTGATTCAAAGGCCAAAGTGAAGGGTTTGTGTCATAAACCTGTATTCCCTGAGAGACTGGTCGGTTTTCGTGCAAATTAATCACTGCTGAAGAATATCGTTCAGGAATTTTATCCTCCGGACATATTGACAAAAGACCCTGTTAAAAATGAGATGGTCACATTATCAGATACACATAACATTGTATTTACTTGACATATTCATGAGTACCAACTTTATTAACATGCGATGATTTGCTCACGGCGTCTTTGAACGAATACAACAACACTTATTTGTACCTTGTAAAACAAGTTGATAGCCAATTGTTTTCTATAGGCAGCCGAGGGATTTGGTGGAATCTCCACCACTTTTAATTCTCCTTTTAAAACTTGCAATACCATACGCAAAGTATCGTTTGTGAAAAGTTCTTTGCCGGTCAAGTACTTTTCAGTGGCCGCAGCTCTAATGAAGGTTGAGGAGAGACCTCCATATGCAATTCTTGCTAACTGGACTTTTTCGTT